TAAACCTACTTAATTTGTAAGTAAGCAATTAGTAAACATGTTTACTCTTCTATAGAACCCTGCCTTGGTTTCTATGGTGGTACTTATAATAAACTATTACCGGCACTTCTATTCCCGTGTCTAATCTCGGAGGGGGGAGGACATATAAGCAATTCTGACCCGATGTCTTAACTTTTACCTGGTCTGTTTACGTACTGCGCAAATCTGAAACACAGTTTACCCTACTTTCTTTCAATAAACTCGCGTACATGCCAGTAGTATGCCGCTGTTGAGCAAAATATATTTTGAAAACACCTAAACATTGATCCACAAAACCAGTCAATATTACTGACAAGGTAACTGGTGTCTACCGTGCAGGGAGGGCTGCTGAGGTTTAGGAGTCAGTCTACCACCCCCCAGCTTCATTAAATCGAAAACCATTTAGCTGGAGAGGAGGGGGAGGGAGGGAGGGAGGGATGGGGGGGCTTACCGTTCGAGTGACACACCAGGTAAGCTCCTCGCAGGGATCAAATGCGATTCCACCAATGCGACTGATTGGAAACAGGCCATTCATTGGTTGAGTAGCCATGAGCCAGTAGCCGCCAGTCCGGTAGAATTGGCTGCAGTCATCATCCAGCACAAAGGGCTGTGACTGTTGGTCACCTACGAGTCCGACTGCATCCATGACTCTGGGCAAAAACCTGAAAGACGCGAACAGCAGCAACAATAAAGACAGAGAGGAAGTGAGGGCAACCACCAGCCGTCCAAACGCGTCAGGCAAAAAGACAGAAGATTGTGCTTTGGTTGGGTTTACTCAGTTGGAGGACGGAATACAAAAAGGTGGGAGGCAGAAGAGGGGGAGGTATTCAAAAATCAATGGATTTGCCTCCGCCGGAGCTGCTGCAGCCGATTATCGATTCGTTGGCCGTGGACCGGCTGGCCGTCTCCGAAAGACACGGTGGCAGATGTAGATGCTAGAACAAGAAAAAAACTCAGTGAAACCAGTGCGTTGCAGGCCAACAGACGCACAGATATGTTTGCTTGGACATGAACAAGAGTAAGATATATTTGCGTGCATTAGACCTAGGGTTAATAAACTATGAAGGGTGTTGACGGCTGAACGTGCAGTGACTTTGCTTGTTCTCATAGTGGCAACATTTTGACGAGGTTAATACAGCATGTGGCCATCGCACCTGAGAATAATAATATGAACAGGAACTTAGTAGACTGTTGCAGAAAGTGCAGTGACCTCAAGCCGCGCGAAAGTTCGCCTCGCGCGACTGCTAGTATGGGCGCACTTGTAGACCGACCCAAATCAGTCTGGCCAATCACCTTCAAGGTTGACTCACACAAAGACCACTCTCTTGGAGGCTGTGACGCTGGCCACA